TCCATGTGGAGGCTCACTGGGAGGGATCCATGTGGAGGCTCACTGGGGAGGTTCTACACTAACTTCTGCACTGAGCACTTCTTCAGGCCAGGCATGTGTTAGGCACACAGGTTCAGATCTGTCAAGTGGGGTATGAGATCTGAGGTCTGGCTACCGTGCACATTAGCTCTGAAAGAAAGTCAGACTGCTGCCTGTGCTGTCCCCATGCCCTCTGCTATCCCAGTTCCCAGCCTTAGAGCAATCGAGCCTTAGTCTTTCACTCTCACGGAGGGCCAGCTGAACCCAGGTCCTCAGAAAGAACAGCAAGTGCTTTTAATTGCTCAGCTATATCTCTAACCCAAGGAGGCCACTTCTTGAGGCAGAACATGGGAACAATGAGGTAAACTGAGGCTCAGGGACACCACAGTGGAGACTTTGCTGAGAATGAAGTGTGAGTCTGCTCATTTTGTCAGTTGGCCCTGTTGGCTCTGTACTGTCAAGAGGCAGAATGATTGGTTAGTTTCACAGGTGAGGTAGCCCAGGGAATAGGAAGTGCCTAGGCTCATAAAACTAGTTCTCTATCATGCTGAGGCCAGGAGCCAGGTCTCAGCAGGCAGAGGCCAATAGATAGCTGACGTTCAATGCTGTTCCCAGCAGTACTTGAGCTGCCCCTCTGGAAGTGGAGTGAGCATGGGATGGCACAGCTGACTGGAGGGCTGTAAGACCTGACAGTGTTGAGAAGCAGTATGTATATGAGCCCTGAAAGAAATAGGAGACGTGTTTCCTCTCCTGTCTCTCCGCTATCCCAGTGCCTAGCCTCAGTGGGTAACTAACTTCCTGGTCTTCCACTTTCACAGGGAGCCTAGCTTTTCCAGAGCCTTGTCTGTGTGCACTGACGCTCTGTGTGTCCAACCCAAGGGTCTTTGCTTAGATCAGACTGAGCCTGATTAGTGACTTACGAAAGGAGCTGACTCTGGACCTGGAAAGAAGGCCCCACCCATCTGAAGCAAGCTGGTTTCTGTTTTCAGTCAGTCCTCTTAGCTACCTACCTGTAAGCAATATGCTCTGCCTGTTATACAGATGAAGGGTTGAGGCCTAGAGAAATTACTCACCCGAGGCATTCAGCAAACCCCTGCCAGAGCCACATGCTACGCATTACTGTGACATCAGCAATGCTTTCTTGCTTGTTGTTTTAGCGCTTGCTCTGAGGTTAATGCTTCTTTTCTTTCCGCTTCCTCTTGAACCTCAGCTCCAAGATCTACATGGCCGACCTGGAGTCTGCACTGCACTACATCTTGCGTGTAGAAGTGGGAAAGTTCTCAGTTCTCGAGGGACAGCGCCTGATGGCCCTGAAAAAGTTTGTGGCAGTATTGGCCAAGGTGAGCAGGGCCCCAGCTTCCTTTGTCTCTGTTGTTCATATGTGTTCAGTGTGCATATCTGGAGGGCAGACACCAATCAGTCCCTTCCTTGAGGAATTCAGGTCTGACTGGACAGCTGGGCCCTTAGCTGCCCAGTCCCCACAGGCTTCTACCCTCCCTTTACAGCCATATTCTATACCAGCCCCGCATGCCCAGAGACCACCCGTCCTGGAGAGGAGAAGGGAGAGAGACGCTGGCCCAGACATCCCAATACCTGGGACTGTGCTCAGTCATTTTGGTGACTTACTCTGCCTGCTTACCTGAGTTCTCCACCACACTTAAGACCCAGGCTATGGGTTCTTACTCCCTGCCATGATGACTGGGAAATAGGACTGTGAACCACCAGAGTGAAGAGGGGTGCTTTCTGCTTTGCTGTCTTTCTTCTCAGTCTAACCCAAATCCGTAGCATTAGCTCTGCACTGTGCTCCTTGGTAACGTCTCAGAAAGGTGGCTGCTGCTTCTCAGAGTGATGTCTGACAAGCATTTAGTCTTTTTGCCTGCTTTGCAGAGCTGTATCACTACCATTTAAGGCCCAGGGGCTCAAGTAGCTCACCTTAAGACAGCCAGCAGGACCAGACGAGGTACTGTCACACTGAGCTGTCTTTCCCTGGCCTTCCCACTCTGGCTTCCCAACCATGGCCAGCCCTGCCCTGCTTTGCTGCTGAGTCAGGGCTGCCTGGCCCCTGGGCCTGCCTGCTGACTCAGCCTTCCTCAGTCCCAGCTGATCTGAGCCCGCTCTTCCCAGTGGGTCTGGGGGAACCTCCAGATCTCTCCCTATCTCACCTATTTTGCCACCATTCTGACCCTCTTGACTTGGTGGCCTGTGTATTTGTATACAAAGAAGACCCTATAAGGAATGTTGCAGGCAAGACAGAGCTATTTCCTTGTTTCAAAGGCCTGCAGCTTGCATTCCACAATACTGAGGAGGCCTGGTTCAGACACACTGTTGAACAAATCCATAGCAGTCCTTTGTATTGTTTTTCTACCACCGCAGTGAGGGAAAGCTCCCATGTGCTCCCTAACCCTACAGACCTCAATGAGGATATCCCACGCCCAAGTCAGTCTAGTTCAGAGGAGTCCTGGGAAGCGGTAGTTTCTCTGTGCTGCTTGGATCTGTTTTCAGTTATAAGCAAGCTGGTATTTAGTTTGCATCCCAGTGGGGCTATGTGAAGCTGATACGAGAGGAGACAGAAAATATCCAGGTTAGATAGAGGCCTGGACAGCACACTGTCGGGGATACACTCAGCTAGACCCTTGGCAAGAGCAGGAGATGGGTATGGTACCAAGGTGTTCTTTAGCCAGAAGCCAGGTCTCTCTGAGAAGACGGTGGCCCTGAAGCAGAGGACTGAGGGAAGCCAGGTAGGATGTCCCACAGTGGGGACACAGTGACCTAGGACACAGGTATAGAGGCCCTGACTGACCTTTGTCTGCATGACTGATATGTTCTATCTACTTTGCTGGGAAGCTTCCTTCTTTTCTGGAGAATAATAATCAAAGCTGCTCCATTTCCTTATGCTCTGGCAGGCTGGCGGACTGTACAGTACACTGTGTATTTGCTTATTTTCCATTCTTAACTCTGTGAGTGGTACTCATCATTTTAGAGATGAGGAAATGACAGCCCAGAGGGGCGAATCACCTTGTGAAGGTGAACTTCCCATCCATGTCTCATTTAACCTCCTCCCTCTCCTCTGACAAGAAAGCCTGGAGTGAGGAGGCCCCTCTCTCAGCCTGCCTTGTAACATGCCAGCAGCTATCGGCGCTGGCCACTGGGTGGCGTTTGGTCACCAAGGTTTCCCTGCTCTCTGCTGTCCAGAGCCCTTTAATTCATCCCTGCGTCTGATGCATGGCCTTAGAAGGCAGAAAGGAGGTGCCAAGTCAGGGTGGCAGGTGGAGGTCAGTGAGAAATGCTGACTTTCAGCTGTAAATCTGCGTGTGGGCCCAGAGCTCTCAGGAGCTGACCAGGAGGAAGCGTTCTGAAGCACAAGTCTTTCCGGCCATTTTTCACTCTGGGGGATGGCTAGCCTCTGCCATTTGATAAGGACAGTTAATACCCTCTTGGAGGCTGCCTCTGGTACCACTCTCATATTGGGAGTCTTCTCCCAGTGGTTCTTTTTCCTCCTCCTGGCATACTTCTCGGATCATTGTCTTCTTACCAACATCTTCCTCCTGTGGTTTTATCTGCTCGGCTTCACTGCTGCGTCCTCTTCGCCCCACCCCCACCCCCACAAGCGTTTGTACATGCACACATATGCACATATGCACACAGCCCCTCCTCCCTTGAGTCCTTGTGGTTTTAAAGTGCTGATACTAATCAGATTTGAGTTGACTTATTGTCAAAGTAGCTTTTCATGTTCCTCTGAGGCTCTTGGGAGTTACCATCAAGATTTGGATCTTGGCCCTAAGCCCTAGGCTAGCCTGTCCATACTGGAGGCCCATGAGCTAAGAAATGAAGGGTCTTTTGCCAGCTTAGCCTATTACCAATGAAGGTTTCTCCTCGGTGTGGTTCTTGTCTTTTCAAAAGAAAGAGCTGAGCCAAGAAACACAGACAGCTGAAAGCAGTTTACTTAGCAAAAGCAAAAAGAGAGAATGCACGCCAAGCTGGAGTGGGTGTTCCGAAGGGAGGCGGGTAGAGGCCCACTGGGCCTTGCATTAGGGGTTTAAGGACTTATTATGGACCCTCCCTCTGGTAATGCCACTGTACGGCCTCTTCCCTAGAGCACAATCTTCCTTCCATCTCATCACTGAGAATAGCTCGAGATGTCCCTGCAGTTTTTCCTTTCTTGCTTATCAGGATGTTTGTCATGGGGAAGGGGCCCTGGTATCGCTGTTTCTGAAGAATCCAACTGCTGCTCCAAGGAGGTTGGGTGATGAAGGGGATTCTGGGCATCAGAAAACAGCTGCCAAGATACAGCTGCAGTTTTCTTCAGTTACCCAATGCTTAACCCCTTGCCTACTCCCTGTCAGCCCAACTGAGCAATCAATTGCTGCATCAGAAGACTTCCTGAAAAGAAGACTTGTGGCCAATATTCACAGCAGTCCTGGGGAGTGGTGTGGTGCTTGGATCTTCCATTGAATGGCTGCATATAGTTAGGCCAGCGTTGCAGCCTGAGCCTTGATAGGAGAGAACCACAGGGCCTAGGCTACATAGAGTTTCTTCTCCTCTGTCCAGAATAGAGTCTATGAATTTGTGATTTGTGCCTGTTGGGTTTTGTTATACTGTAAAACTCTGTAGAATTGTTTCTTACTCTCCAATCACCACTTGCTCTTACTTACAGTACTTCCCTGGCCAGCCTTTGGTCCAGAACTTCTTGCACTCCATAAATGACTGGCTTCAAAAGCAGCAGAAAAAGAAGATCCCCTATAGTTTCTTCAAAGCTGCTCTGGACAGCAGGAAGGAGGTGAGTCTAGCAGACAAGTGAAGAACTGTCAGTGTCCTTGACATTTCAGGGGCTGGAAGAACTTAACGCCTCGATCTCTGATGACATTATTCAGAGGTTTGCATTAAGTGATTCCATTTATCACTAATGAGCTGCTCTCCACTGGGGCCTATGGAATATCTCATTGACGCCTCATGCATCAGAATCTTCACTTAGCAGATGACGAAACCAAATTCAGATTACATAACTGTTCTAGTCTAAGACCCTGTAAGAACCTGTAAGTGATTAGAACTAAAAACTCCAAGGTATGAGGCAATGGAGACTTAAATTTTTGAGATAGGGCCTTACTCTGTATGTAAGGCTAACGACCTTGAAACTCACAATAATCCTTCTGCATCACCTCCTCAAATGTGAAGATTATAGGCATGAGCTACCACATTTATCTAAGACACCAGAGTTGATAACTTTTGCCTGCTTCCAAGCAGCTTCCTCGTGTGGCCACAGCAGGGTACCTGTTCTTTCTGCTGTCTGCAAGAGCAAGTCCACACCCAGTAGACATACAGACCCTGTTGATTTATGAGGTGTCGAGGCTTCCAGGGACCTCAGTGATGGGCATGGCTGTTTCAAAGATGGAACTTGGTCTATGCCATGGAGTCTCAGCTCTGCCAATCCGTGGTGGGTGGGTATGGCAGAGGTACCTATTTGAGGTCATAGGCCAAGAAGAGGACTTCCTTTGCCATGGTGCCATATGCTCTTGGAAACGTCCCTTGAGGTCCCCTTTCCACCGTTCTCTTCTCCACCTGTGCACTCATGCTCATGTGTGTCCCTTTTAGGACTCCGTCCTTACTGAGAAGGTGAATTGGGTTGGCTGCCAGGGCAGTCAGCTACATTTCCGGGGATTTCCCTGCTCCCTGTGGGTCCTCTTCCACTTCCTGACTGTGCAGGCAAACCGATATAGTGAGGCCCACCCACAAGAACCAGGTGAGTGCAGGGCCTGCTCACTGAGTTCTACCTCAGTCTGTCTGTCACATCTGTTCTATTCTCACCGGGGAGCCAGTTGGAATGATCCTGTGTCTGTGGGAAACTAATGAGGCAGAAAGAAAAGGAAGTTTGCAGGAACACAATTCTGGAGCTGTTGAGAAGAGCCAGCCCTAATGGGAGAGGAAGCAATTATACCTGGAGTGGGTGCAGAAGAAATGGAACTTAGGAGGTAAGGGACACAGTGGTACAGACAGACACAGTGGTACAGGCACAGTGGTACAGACAGACAAGTGGTACAGACGCAGTGGTACAGGCACAGTGGTACAGACAGACACAGTGGTATAGACAGACACAGTGGTACAGACAGACACAGTGGTACAGGCACTGATGTTGCAAAGCAGAGGGACAGAGAGAGAGAGAGAGAGAGAGAAGAGGGTGAGAGAGTGCTCTCTGCAAGGTCCTGGGGTCTAGAGGTGGGTTGCTCTCTAAAGGGTTGGAGGTATGCCAACTAGGGAGTGTTTAGAAGCGATAGGAAGTAGTCCCCAAGGTATCTGGAGTATGGAAGAGAAAAAAGACACAGAAAGTGTGGGAGGGTGACCTTCAGGAGAGTCTGGTTTCAGCTCAAGAAAAAGTGTGGGAGTCAACAGAGGCCCTTGCTTGGTACCAGCCTATATGGGGGAGTTAGAGTGAGAATAAGGGGGACATAGAGACAAACTAGAAGATATTCGGACCAGAGGAGGAGGAACTCCTAAGGGTGTCCCAGAGAGGCAAGGCCCAAGAGAGAGCATGTTGAATGGGACGCCTGAAGCAGGCAGATGGAGGAGGGTCATGGGGGTTGGAATGAGTGTCCGCCCCGTCAACTCTAGTTGTGCCACGTAGAACCCGAATGTCCCGCTGAAGAGGAGAGGGGGAACTGAAGTTTAGGAGTTTTGGAGGAAATAGGACCATCTCTGTGGTGACCCTCACAAGGGGAGAAGTAGGTAAGGGAGCTTTGGGCCTGTGTCATAGGCTGGAATGTGAAGCACTTTGCAGGGGAGCACAGCAGAGTGGAGGACCGGTGATGGAGGCAGCAGAGGCTGACAAGTGAAGGGCCTTTCTGTGGTGTCTCCTTCCCCTGCAGCCGACGGCCAGGAGGTCCTCCAGGCCATGAGGGGCTACGTTCAGTTCTTCTTTGGCTGCCGTGACTGTGCTAACCATTTTGAGCAGATGGCTGCTGCATCCATGCACCATGTGAGAAGTCCCAGTAATGCAGTTCTCTGGCTTTGGACTAGCCACAACAGGGTTAACGCTCGTCTCTCAGGTAAGGTCACTTCCAAGGCCGGAGGTGGCATCTGGGGGCATACTGACTGTCTTTTTCAGTGGCGCTCTACTTCTCACACATACCTGCCAGCCCTGTTAGCCAGGCCTGTCTGCAGAGGAAACAGATGGGGACTCTGTGCCACCCTGGTGCTCAGTGCCAGTGCTCCTTCCCCTGCTGGACCCAGGACTCCTCTCTCCTGCCTCCTATTGCTGTGCCTCTCCCTCTATAAGCCTCTTATCGGACTAACAGGGAGGAGAGCATGGGTTTTCCACACCCAGAGAAAAGTTCTTATCAAAGAGTAGGCTGGGGCGTGGGGAGCTTGTCTTCCTGGTTACCCTGATTTACTTTGTTTACCTTTCCTTGGAAATGGGAGCATGGTGGGTCCTACACATGGAGCCTGGGAGGGGAGCCTTCTCTAGACCAGATACTACATATCTGGGGAGCAGTGTACCCCCAGACAGCCCTCCTAGGGAAGGAGCTGGATGGAGCAGGTTACTGCAAGCCAGCACATGGTTCCCTGTCCTGGAGCCTCCTAGTGGCTTTTAAAAAGAAGACATATGCCTACCTTCCCTACCAGCTTCTTCCTCTTCCCTTATCTCACTCTGCCACCAAATGTTGCCATGGCTGGGTCACACTGTAGGCCAGAAAGGTGCCAGGTTGTCCAGGGGTTGTGTGGGTTTGTGGTGATGCTCAAGCTAGGCAAACACTCTACTACCGAGCTCTCCCCAAATTCTCCCCTGCCTTCCTGCTTTGAGACAGGCATCCAGACGGGCCCTGAACATGCAGTCCTTCTACCGTATCCTCAGTCCTGAGTGGCAGGGATTACAGACATGTACCACCAAGCCTGGCTACACGCTCCTTTTGTTCTGTTTTGTTTTTGATTTTGTTTTCTTTCTCTGTATCTCTCATCTCTTTCTCCCATCCTTTTAAAGGCTTGGTAAGCCTTTTTGCAGATGGAAAAGCTGGTGTTCTGAGCAGAAGGAACCTAAGCTCCAGGAAGACCTGATGCTGCAGTCAATTGTGTGTGCTTCCCTCCCCAGGTGCTCTGAGTGAGGACCCCCACTTCCCCAAGGTGCAGTGGCCTCCCCGTGAGCTGTGTTCTGCCTGCCATAATGAGCTGAACGGACAGGTGCCTTTGTGGGACCTCGGTGCCACCCTCAACTTTCTCAAGGCTCACTTCTCCCCAGCAAACATCGTCATAGACTCTCCTGCAGCTGGAGCAGCAGCCCCGAGGGGCACCCAGAATCCCAAGCTGGTAATGGATACATTAAAACTGGAGACCAGAAATTCAGTGCGGGGCCATGAGCAGGCTGCTTCTGCAGAGTCCCCTGGAGCCACTGCCTTAGATGTCCCAGCTGAGAAGCCTGAAGCCAGTGGTCCCCAAGAACTATACACAGGCCTCAGAATGGGTGGAGCTTCTCCAGGGCGGGGCTCTCCTGAGCACGTGGAAGAGCTTCAGAGGGATGTGCAGGAGAATGCCCAGGGTCAGCAACACGTGAGCAAGAGAGACACTGAAGCTTTATCACTGCCTGAGGTGAACCACCTCCAAGGCCCTTTAGAGCTCAGGCGAGGGCGCCGCAGCCCCAAGCAGCTAGCCAGCGTACTTGAAGGGGAGCCAGAGTCCCTGGCTGTACAGGGCCAGGGCCAGTGGCTAGAGGTTCTGGGAGGGGGGGTTTCCCACCTAGACGTTAGCCTGTGTGTGGGGCTCTACTCTGTGTCCTTCATGGGCTTACTGGCCATGTACAGCTACTTCCGGGCCAGGATGAGAACCCCAAAGGGCCATGCTAGTTACCCCACAGCCTGAGCAGCCCGGCAGAGGACAGAAAAGGGAGCTGCAGTCTACGGGCTTTTTTTGACACTGGCCCCCTTGCTTCCTTTCTCCTCCTTCCTTGTTCCATTGTCTAGCTTAGGAGAGTGGCAAGTCCCCAAAAGTGAGTTGTTCCTGGGGAACCCTGCAGTCCACTGGGAGAGGATTCCATAGACAAAACAAACAGGGTGCCAGTGTTACCTGGCCAGCATGGGGTAGGAGCAGCCTGACACAGAGGCTCGGGGCTTCTGGGAGACTCAGGCTCAGGCCCTGGCTTCAGCACCAAATTCTGTTTTTCAGCTTTTGTGAAGTCCTGCCCATTCCTGCTGAAGTCTCAATGTTTCCTGCTTGGTCTTGGCCTTAAATTGAGGCAAACAAGTCCAGAGCTTTCGAGGTTTCTCATCCAGAGGAGAGTATTTGGGGCAGAGTGGGCAGGAGTGGACCTCCTCACTGCATTCTGAGGCTGTCCGCTTCCCTCCCTCTCGACATGAAGAAAATGCATCCCTTCTGGCCTTCCCTGGCCTACCCAGCTTCAGCACCTCAGGTGTGGGTGGGGTTTAAGCTACAAGAATGGGTCTGGGATCCTCAGGAAAGGATTCTGGTCACCCAGGTTCAAACTGGGGTTTCTGCTGCAAGAGTGTACTTTGAGGTTGGTGTAGTTTGGCAGTCTGGGAGGGTAACAGTTGCTGGACTGTGGGGGGCAGTGCTTGCTTGGTGGTAGGGGCAAGGGGGTGGGTGGTGCTGGGGTCTGTAGTGCCTTTTAGTCCTAAGCTAGCTGTGAGAGGGCAGACTCCTCCGAGCTGGGCGCTTGTCTCTTACTTAGGTCTTTAAAATCAATGCTAACTGTGGTGGGGAGGCGCTGGGTTGAGGGCAGTGAGTGGAGTGTGCTCTCTCCTGGTTGGTTCCACTGCAGGCAGGAGGGGTGGAGAGACCAGCTCACGGGCTTCATTCTCCTGCTCCTACTGCTTGGGAGGATGTGGAATAAAATTATTTTTGTTAAGTCACGCAGAGTGTGTTTGACTTGATCCTTGGCGAGGTATTGTCTGTGTCTGCACCAAATGCACAACATCCAGTGCACAGCACCCAGTGCACAGCACCCAGTGCACAGCACCCATTGTACAGCATCCAGATCCTTAGAGAGGTATTGTCTGTCTACACCGAGTACATAGCATGCAGTCTCACCAGAGATCCAGCATCCAGAGCACTCCTGGCTACAGGAGCAGACACTCACCCCACTCCCCACAGAGCACTTGGACCTATGAGTCTCCACACGCACTGGGAACAAGCCTGGGTGATGGCCCTGCCACCTTCTGCTCTCCACCCTTCCTGAGACCTGCCCGGGTGTCAGAGGGACCTGTCTGTAGCTGCCACCTTCAGCTCTTCCTCCAGGACTGACAGGCTTGTTTGTCCAGCCAGCCCGGGTTGTCTGCTCAGCCAGGAGGAGTCAGCCTGGATTAGAGTTTGCCCCTAATCCAGCCTGCTGGGTTTTACAGGGATCAGAGCAGCTGATAATGAACCTCATTAGGGGGAAGCAGAAGCCCCGATCCGATTTGGGCTTTTCTCTGACATCTTCATTCTTCTCAGATGGTCTCAGCACTGAGTGCAGCAGGTGGACCGCCAAGGACACCCCCTGTGCTGGGGCAGCTGGGGTGGGGGAGGATGCAGCTGGCAGGGCATTTGACCTCTTTAGCAGCCTGGTTCCTGGGGTGTCTGAGCCCCACCCCACATCCTCCGAGACCTTACCTGCTGGACCCTGTTTGAGGGTCCAAGAGGCTGACAGGCCAGCACACGATCAAGCAGGGTTTCTGAAAGAGGTTCCAAGGGCCTTTGGTTCAAGGACGTGCTCTACCAGTCCACAGAGATTCCTTACCAAATAGCCCCATAGTGTGACTGCTCATAAAATGTCAAGTAAAGATTCCTGTCAGCCAATCCTATAGTACCAGTAACCATACTTCCCCAAACCAAACCTGGGTATCTAAGCTTGGGACTCTTCTGGGAATACCATTGCAGCTTGCTCCACAATGCTCAGCCACAGGACTGAATGTGGAGGCAGGCCCCTATTTGAGACCTGTGGTGTGGGTTTCCTTCTGCACAGCGAGCCCCTCGGCCCTGTCTCAGACCTTCTGATTGATAGGCAGGATGGTCTCCTGACCCACTGCGTTTTTCCTTGACTTCCCAGGACTCATGTCCATGGCTTGGATAAGCCAGCCTGCCCACCAGCTGGCCCCCTGTCCTGTTCATGCAGCCATCCTAGGGCTGGGGCTTTCTGTGTCTTACGGGCCTTTCTAGGCTGTTTCTCTGGTAGAAGAGGATTCTAAGGGGAGACCTGCAAAGCAAGGATTCCTTTTGCTGGGTTGGACAGAGAAAGCCACATGTCTGGTGGGTCATGGTCTAGGGGTTCAGGGTTTCCTCAAAGTGACAGCTGGACTTTGAAGGATGAAGTGCCAATAAAGAAAATATGAAAATGTATAGACATAAGAGAAAGCACATACATACCCAGTCCAATAAAGAAAAAGTTGCTACAAAACAGAACAAAAACCTTATGTTATTATCATCACCATTATGTCAGGATTTCCTTTGCTGAGCTAGGCTAGAATCAGGGTACAAGACAGAACAGGTGCTGTCCTTGATGTTAGCTTACAGGCGACTCCAGTAGACGCCTCCCAGGGACCTAGCAATGGACATCATCACCTGCCCCTGCTGCCCCAGCTGGGCACACTCTCTCTGTCTCTCTGTCTCTCTCTCTGTCTCTCTCTCTGTCTCTCTCTCTGTCTCTCTCTCTCTCTCTCTCTCTCTCTCTCTCTCTCTTCTGCCCTCCCTCTCTTTCTGTCCTCCCCTGTCCCTGTCCTCATGACTTGGCTTCTGTCTGTCTGCCTGTTTACATGTCCACTCATCTGCCTCTCCCCTCACTTCCCTCCCTTCCTCCAATAAGCCCCTTTACACCAGATCCGTTGCATGGTGCAGTTACTCAGGGGAACACCTTGGCATAGGCCCACCAGGTACTCCTTATGCCATTATATTTCATAACACCTGATGTTACCAACTGGGAGGGGGTAGGATCTAGTGATCAGCGTGCTTTGAAGGAGAGACACCAGCAGGGATACCCTCAGCAGGCTCTTCTATGCCCTGCTAGAAGACCATATGTGATCTGAGGTGTATGTTGTGGAGAAGGCACGGTGTGGGGACACCCTCCAGGAGGGTGTGGGGACACCCTCCAGGAGGGTGTGGGGACACCCTCCAGGAGAGAGTTCTTTTTAGTGATCTTGCCCCACTTCACATTCTGGCCACAGCACCCTCCTGAAGGGTGTTCTCGCTGCAGGGAGCCACAGTCCAGTAGTATCCTGATGGACCTTCTCCTCTTGGAACAGTTGGGAAAGGGAAGCTCTCGTAGCAAAACCAGGCAGGATCTCCACAGTTCTGGACAATAGTCCTCCAGCTACCTGCCTGAGTCTCCTCAGGTGTGGCTTTCCTGGCATCCTGACCCTGCCAGGTTCGTGTCGCACATCACACAGCCAAATGCCTCTGATGGAAGGCTGGGGCAGAAGAAACAGGGAGGATTTCCACTCTGCTTGAAGAACAAGTTACATTCTGAGAAAAAATAATCTAATCCATGTGTTCCCACACACACACCCTTGTGCTTGGTTTTGTGCACCCCATGTCAAGGCAGGGTCCAGCAAACCTGCCCTGACCTCCTCTGATGTCCTGAGGGGCAGTTATACTGAAAATAGGGAACACTGTCCTCATCCCTCTCGGTCTGTCTTCTGTCTGTCCCCAGCCTTGTGGTCTCCTTAACAGAGAGGCCAAGCCCTTGGGGTCCCAGCCCTTGATGAAGTCTTCTGTCAGAACTTTGGCCTCTCTCTGGAAGAACACACTCTGGAAAGCTGGCCAGCTGATGGCTGTAGGGAGAGGAACAGAACTGCAGGTGGCCAAGGCCCCAGTCTTTGGTCACTTTCACTGGGCCCTGTCCAGGTTTCATTGCCTCCAAGGCCATGAGATGCTTCACAGACAAGAGAGTTTGGAAACCACAGGGTGCAAGCAGACCATGGAGCTTGGGAGGTAACTGAAGGAGACTCAAACATCTATGAAGCTTCTAGATGGAGAAGCTCCCCTGCCAGGGCTGCTGGTATCCAGGCGCTTGGCTGCTCACCTCTGCAGAGAGCAATGGACTTTTCCCTAAGGCTGCCAGGCGCTTGACTGGGTGGAAAAGACACTGCACAACAGCTAGTTCATCTAGAAGAGCCAGCCGGCCACCTCTCCCATCTCTTTCTAGAAACTGCGTCCCTTATTACATCACTTTGCCACTAAGTGGCCTCCTTGCCCATTGTGGGGCTGGCAAGGATAACAAAGGAGCAGTTGTTTAAAGCAGTGTGACACTACTTGCTGTATGTCAACAGCAGGTTTCTTAAAGCTTCATTCGCTGGAGAAACTGACAGGAAGAAACAGCAGAAGTGACAGGCCTGTAGCCCTGGGATTCAGAAGGCAGCTCGACATGATAACTGCAGGATAGCTCACCTGAGAACCAGAGGTGACTAGCGTATCGAGTCTTGGGAGTATTGGAGCTACTATAAGATCCATCCCTGCACACCCAGTTACCAGAGCATCAAGAGGAGCTGGGAGTGTGAGCACCAAGGAGATCTGAGATCAGGATTCATCCTGGCGCCCTCGTCAGACTGGTATCCTGAAGCCCAAAGCATGTGTCCTGCTTTCACCTGAAGTCTAAGGTCTGGAAATGACACCAGGGCATGAGTTCTCCCTGTCTGTCTTTCAAAATCTTTTCTTACTTTCTGCTTTCTGTTTGTTTGTTTTTGTTCTTTTGTTTTGTTTTGTTTTGGTTTGGTTTGGTTTGGTTTGTTGAGACAGGGTTTCTCTGTGTAGCCCTGGCTGTCCTGGAACTCACTCTGTAGACCAGGCTGGACTTGAACTCAGAAATCTGCCTGCCTCTGCCTCCCAAGTGCTGGGACTAAAGGCATGTGCATGACCACTGCTTGGATCCAAAATATTTTCTTAATTAAAGTTTAGTAATTCATGTCTTTGGTTACAAAACCAAAATCAGGGTGGTATGCTGCCTCTTCTCCTCTTCTTCCTCTTCCTCCTCTTCCTCCTCCTCCTCCTCCTCCTCCTCCTCCTCCTTCTCCTTCTTCTGACCAGTAGGTATGATTTTTAAGAACAAATATTTCAACATTGGATCTGTAGATCTTTACAAAAAAAGGGCCCTTGGCTGACCTAAGAGCTATTCATAACACTGGAACAGAGTTCTTTAAAAACAAAAAAAATCACTTTTAAACAAAGGAGCAATTGATGAATCTGATAAAATTCACTCATTAAAGGCATTTGTTAGGCATTTACTCAATCCTATGTGACAAAACAGAAAGCTCAGGCTGGGCGCTGGCTCAGCAGGTGCTCGCCGGGCAAGTCTGATGACCTTAGTTCTATGCCTACAACATAGTTTTTAAAAATACAGTGATCTGGGACTGTTGTCCCAGTAGCATTCCTACAATGAGATGGCAAACAGAGACTGGAGAATATGCCAGAAGCGTGTGGGCCAGCTAGCAGGGAGCCCCTGTATAATCAGGAAGAACAAGAGTGGCTGGCTCCACCATAACAAGATGGAAGGTATGAACCAATTCACAAAAGATGTCCCCTGGCCTCCATATGTATGCTATGGCAGGTAGGTGTGTGTGTGTGTGTGTGTGTGTGTGTGTGTGTGTGTGTGTGTGTG